ACTCAAACTTAATCTAGAAGAGCCATTCAAGCAGTTTTAGTGCTCTTAACACTCACCGCTGATACAGGAAAGAGTTGAGAAGGGTAAACAGCAGCTGTGGCAGTTGGGAAAGCAAAGCCATCCAGCTGTCATAGCTATAGTCTTTGGGAGAAGTTCCTGATGTGCCAGTTGAGTTGAGACGTTCATTGAAATACTTAAAGAGGAAGATAAAAAAAAGCAATTTACTATAAAAGGACATACTGTACATGCTATAAGATTCAAGTAACAGAATAAACACAGAAAGAACAAGAATGATTTGAATCCCTGTGCAAAATTGCAGACATGTTTTTTTTAACTTATTTTCTTCTCAGTAGTGTATCATGAAAATCCTAAATAAGAATAAAATACAAGCAGTTTTTAAGTAAAATCATCATTATTTCATTATTTTAATAATAAAATCATTTAATTAAAATGTATACATTGAAACAAACTGACCTGCCTACATACACAATTCATTTTCAAAGTTAACAGTGCTAACATGTGATACAGGGATAGACGATAGTCAAGATGGTCTCAATTTAGAGTAAAGAATCTGGTGCTAAAAATGTGGAAAGTGACGTGAACATGAAACCTTAGATGCTGTGATGAAAAAATTCCAGGGCAGCAGAGTTCCTAGACCGAGCACAAAGATAATCAGGGCCACAGCCTGTCCGCTGTGAAAACAAAATACAAGTGAGAAGAAGCGCCAACCAGTGCAAAAGAATCCTCCAATGTAAAGGAGGATTCTTAGATGTGTGTATATCTCTAGGAATCAGACTCACCGGTCAACAGGTGCACTCTTTTCATTCGACATTCTGATAGTTTGTCACGTCTCTGCGGATGTCAATAGAAGACCCTTAATAATGATTAAAATTATGTGTTTCCATCACATGTACTGACTGAGTAAATGCTCTGTTGACTGCAGGAACAGAAACTTTTTTTTGTTCTTGTTTCTTTTGTACAACCATTTAAAAATACTAGTATAACTCAAATGAGAGAACAGTCAGGTGTCACAATAAGTTGCCCCACAAATTATTTGTGACTGTAAAAATTTGTTTGTCTGCCACAAGACAGAGGAGAACACCACAGGGATAAAAGTGATCGCCTGACAAAAACTGATTTCCCGTATTTGACAAAAACGGATTGCTCATATTTAAAATGCTATAAATACGTTGTTGGTCTATAATATGTAAAACATGTGTCAAAATTGACCCTCATGAATGACATCAAGTAATCATGGGCCACAAACAACGTCCCTGTAACAATCAAGTGGACAAAAAGGACCGGATTGGTAATAATGTAAGTACAATAACAAAGAGTTATAAGGATACTTGACAAACAGGTAATTTATACATTTTATATATAACCCTGTTGTAAACCTTGTTCACCGAAGTCTATTTACCAACATACGTAAAGATATTACACATAAAAAACACACGGAAACATTGGAAATCAGTTTTTGGCAGGCAACACTTTTTGGCACAACATCTGTCCGCACTATTGGGGCTGAACCACGTGTTAATGATGGAGGGGTGGGGGGTAACGCTATGCAATATGTTCAGTTTGAGAATTTATATTTCGTGTTAACTGTAGTTAAAGGTGTTAATGCTATCTTATTTTAATAAACAACACTGTCATATGCAAAACTAGGGTGGCAAGACATCATTGTAGTGTGGCACATGCCACCCCATGCCGCAGGGTTTGTCCATCCGAGACTGGCTGTGAGACATCGACTTGCGTCATTAATATGGTTTAACGTCACATCTCCACATGTTGTCTTATCACTTTATTCTACTTTATTTCTTAATCTACTGAAAGGAACATAATACATGTTCAACGGATTAAAGCATATTGCTGTTTTTTTTAAATATCTGTAACAACTGCCTGACTAAAGAAACTTTAGAGGATGGATCATTAAAGTGATATTAACTTTGAATAAATATATGTGTCTCGTTATTCTAGCGACGGAAGCTGCGTTTGAGTTTAATTAACCCCAACTTTAATTGTTTTGATGAATTTAAATTTACCCAGCAAGTTAAACGACGAGTAACCGATACATTAAGTAGTGACAAGTACACGTGTTCCGATTCTTTATGCGATATAAACCAAACCGACAATTAACATCCAAAAGCCAAACGCTGTGTTGAAGCAAGCTAATAAAAACAAAGCACTCGAGTCGGAGCTGACCTGCGAGTCGAACAGCGTCTTCTTCTGGGTATCCCTGGATGAATGAAAACGCGGTGAAGAAGATGGTTGTGGGAAAACGTGCCGCCAAAACGTTAGAACAAGGAAATGATGAAATGAAACATGATGCGTCGAAACTTCGAATTAGTTCGAGTGCTTCCCCCGCTTCCAACCCACTCAAGGATTGTGCTAATTACTCTAAGGATTGTAACATACAGTCCTATTAAGCATTCAAATTAAGTTCTTCTTCTTTTAACTAGAACTTGGCAGAGATGATGAGCCCCTTAGATGGGTGAGAAACCAGAAGAGACAAATATGGAATGACATTTATGTTACAACAAATGCACGAGCAAATAATAATAATAATAATAATCTGAGCAAATAATTGCATTTCACTGGCGGAATTAAATTCCTCGCGCGTAAATTCAATAACCCGCGCGCGTATGAAGTTATGTGGAGGCGGAGCCCAAAGTAGGACGGGGTCCTTATATGATAGCTGGACACTTTAGGTTACTTGGTTAATCTGAGTTACTCTTATGCAGCTATGAAGTGCTGTTTTAAACCGTACTTGTTTACAGTTTGAAAAATAACGTTTGCAAAATTAATTATTAACAGTTATTGTTTGCTGTACAGCAGTGGAAATACGCATAACTGTCACTGGATTACTTTAATGTTGAAGAACCACAGGATTCTATGGCAGGTTTTAAAGCATCTGCAGTGCGGTCCCATTAATCTGTTGTACAGTATTGCACAGCTTCTATGATTTAAAAAAAAAAAAACTCACAATGAGGACCAGGAAAGGAAGAGTGGATCAGAATCTGGCAATTATACATTTGGCCAAAATCCAGACAGTTAAACCATCCAGCAGAAAGTTGCTCAGTCTGCATCAACAGTGAATTTTGGAGGTGGGAACATGATGGTGTCTGTTTTTCAGTATTTCAGCAGCAGTAGGCTACAGTCACACTTCAAATAATTAAAGGATGAATGGAAAAACATACCAAGACATTCTTGATAAAAATCTGCTGCCAGATGATGCCATGGTGCCCTAAGTTCACCCCAAAATGTGCTATGTTTTTAAAGAAAGTGCTCAGTGTAGTGGCGTTGAGATGCTGTTACCGATCCGAACTGTCTGAGGTCTCTCCGACAGAAAGTCCAGGGGTGGGGTTCGACTTCCTCATCAACACATCATTCTGAGCGTCAAACCGTGCAGAAGTTGTTCAGTGCATCTGGTATGGAGGCGTCACCATGGCAGGCAGGTGTCGTCTTCCTGTAGTTAGTGATGGCATGGATGCCGTGCCACATGCGCTTTGTGTTGCAGGGTTGACTTGAGCATATAGCTACATATGCTATAACAATTTAAAGCATATAAAATTCATAACTGAAGATTATCAGTGTTTTCTTCAATCAGATGATTTAGACCTTGACAGGTTGAACTGTGACATCAGAGTTTAATCTTCCTGCATATAAGAAACGTTGAATTCAGTCTCAGTTAGTAATGTCTGACATGACTGTTAGTGTATGCTATTGTTCCTGTTGTTTAGGAAACGGTTTCCACCTTGGGATCCTAAATACAAAATAGGCTGTAAAAATCAGATCCAATACTCTCAGTAAAGGAACATGGCTCATTTTCCAGGAACTAAGATCGCTTCAAAGTTGGACAGTGCTCTTCTTCCATTACAAGCACAGCACAGCGTTTTACCTTAACCAGCCTTGTTACAGCTGTTCTGTTTATCCAGCACTTGTTTTTTTTTTTTATCTGTTGTCTGTCTCTGTGTGTTAACCTGCCTCAAACTGGTATAAGAAAATAGACAGGTCGATGTTTTAGGTATAATATCTGATTTAAATTGTGTTGTGACATGACTGGAAAAAATACTAATAAAAAAAAAAGTCAACACTATTTACATTTAAAAAAAAAACCCAAACAACAACTACCAAGATAACTTTTTTAAGTATATTTAGGAACAGGATGAAGCTTGTAGGAACTCTACATCGTTGGGGACGGTTAATCAAAATAAACCAGTTGGTAACTCACTCCTGTCTTCCAAAAGTTTACGCAGCAGCCTAAGGTACCAAAACGTATAACTGACACGTCGGCGTTTAAACAGACATTATTAACATTTTAAATACATATTATCCCAGCTTACTCGATTCGATTAAGGTCCCTGGAATGTACTTGACACGTATTTTGCTCACTACCGACTTCTTGGCTTTAAATATATTATTTCATGCGCAGGAGGTTTTATGCTTGTGTGCTGTCATCTGTGCTGTGTGGTTTACATTCTTCTTACAGTTACAGTTACAGTTACATTTCCTGTCTTTCATATATATATATTTTAATTGATTGTTACCAAACCATTGCCCTCAGGATTAATAAGTATTCAGATTCTGATTCAGAGTTTGATTTTAATTTAGCTGACTGACCTAATGTGAGGAAACATCTGACTAATTTGAGAGGATGTCTTATTGGGGTAACAGCTGCAGTAAGTCATAAAGCTAAAATCATAGTTGTTTGTGCACAGCTACACACGCAGACCGCAGAGAAAACCGGAAGTACAGGTTTTGTATTTTCATAATAAAACAAGTGTTAATGGTGCAACCATCTCAAATAACCAGGTTCTCTTAATTAATTATGAGTAAACTAAAAACTAAAAGTAGACGTTCAAGTTTATAAGACAAACTACTGGCATTTACTTCAGCTTGAAAACAATTTGGCATTTGAGTAAGTATTGAGTATTTTGGTATTCAAGTAAGTTAAGTTGTTTTACTCTGAAATGTTAACCGGAAATCAGTAGCCTTGATAGCTAAGAGGCGCAGTTGAGTTTGAAAACGGTTAAGCCAGCATTAGCTCAGTGTGGTTTTGTTAGGAACAAAATCGATAAAAAGTCGCCGAACTCCTGGTGAACATTTAAGTAACTGTGACATTTATGGTTTAAAACGGCTAACAGCGTTTGTTCCTGGAACAAAGACATCCGGGACATGAGACTGCTTTAAGACGGACAGTAACTTCGGTGAGTTAATTGTCTAAGGAGTTGATTCTTTTCGTCATTGTTAGCGCCACTAACGCCGCCTTAGTCCTCTGTAGTTAGTGGTAACCTTATGCTAAATAAGTACCTAATGAACTAACACATTCTCTGCTTTTTTCTCAAGTTTTACGATCGAAAAATGCTAACTAGCTACGAGTTACCGTAATGACGTTATATAGGGCAACAACAGTATACCAATCTCTTAAACAATTCAAGATTTAGGTTGAAAGTGCCTTAGATTTAGGTTGATAAGCGTCCTTTTTTTTTTTCACTGACAAAAGCCCAAACACAAGTTGTTGTTTTTTTGGGGAATTGTGTGAGTTTTGGAAAACGTAAATCAAATTTTATCGACGCTTTTATGGTCGTATATGGTATTAAATTTCGTAATAAATTACGGTGACACGTCCTTTTCGTAGTAACTTGTAAAGTGTCCTGTGTGTATGTGTGTCATAAACGGCTCTGAAGTGTCTGCTGACTCCACTAACATAGCTTCTTTTCTGTAATAGTGTGTCTATTGTTTTGTCCACAATAGAGTGGCCACAAATAGAACTCCAGATATTTAATCAAAATGTACACACAGCATTGCTATATTCTGCAGCTCATTGAATTCAGGATTTGAAGTTATTATTCATATTAGGTAAAACATATAGTGTGTGTATATTTAGTGTCTTAAACAGGGCTCTGTCCGTGGTGGTACTCCGTCCTGTCCTGTAGCCCAGCTGGCCTTCTTTGTCCTGGCCACACAGACTCATTAGCATTCACCATCCTACCAGAGCATCCATCTGTCTCCACAGACGATGCTTTTGTTCCCCATTTTAATGTTAAAACTTTGCCCTTTTTGTCCAACTGTCCCCTCATATTAAAAGCCTACAGATGTGTCAGCCCATCTCCAAAGACGAATGTTGATCTAAAGCCTGGAAAGTTTTAGGAGTTCTAGGTGAGAGTTGCACCAGAGGATAAACAGAAGTGATGCTTACAGTTTACGTAAATTGAGATATTTCATTGTCAGAATATCACAATTTATAGCTGATTTACATACTTTAACGTTTCTGTGGCTGTTGTTCAAACTGGTATTCACAAACAAAAGGGCAGAAAAATTATGATATTAATCCTGAGGGCGAATCTGCGGGAGAACTCTGAAATGCTAAAGATGGTAGTTGTCCCAACTTTGTCACCAGAGAGCCAATTAACACCCAGATAATGAAACAGAAAGTCTTTGACTTTTTACCACTGGAGTGAGGAGATCTCTGAAAATGTTGACTTTTTTTGGCCGGTCCCCACTTTTTCACACCCCTCTTAGGTATCTGCAGAACATGCCTGCTCGTGTTCTGCAGGCTCATCTGCGGTATGTGTGTGGAGTGGGAGGTATTTCTTCTTCAGAGGTTATGTGGAATCATCACAGAATGGTATAGGTCTTGTACCTTGTAGCTGGTCTGGTTTGGTAAACATCCAACACCTCCGCCCCCACCCCCCTGTTATTTCTTTAATATTACTGTACATGAGAGTTTATCCTGTTGTGTCATTCTTTTGCTAACTAACTTGTATAGTACCCACAACTCTTGGCTGACATTTCCTTTGAGCTTTAGATTAGAATAACTTAATCTTTTATTTCAACTCAATAATAGTTACAGATCACAGCGTTTTAGAAATACTGGTTGGATGTTCCAAGTAAACTCATAATTTTCTAGCATAGTTCATAAATTTAAAATAGATTTCTTTTAAGAGTTTCATCATGTACATGTAAGCCATAGAAGGGCTCCAACTCTCATAGCCATGATAGTTCTTTGCACTTTAGGATTGTCTTAATCCTAATAATGGTTTTATCCCATGCTGGCGTTCTGGCTTGGCTAAATAAGTGTGAGCCATCCCGATTGGTATTCCAGTGAATATTCTGCAGTTTTGTGTACTGTAAACACCTTACTTTCACAGTAATGAAACAATATAGTGGTCAGATAGAGGTACCCGTTTGTGTCAGGTGTTATTCTGCTGTCTTTATAGTCTGTTTTTTTTTTTTTTTCATAGTGGATAAAGAAAAAAAGTGACTAACAGCTCAATGTACAGTGCTGTGGAAAAGTATTTTCCCTGTTTCTGATGTCTTTCTTTTTTATTTTTGGAACATCATTTATTATATGATGTAAAGTAATATTAAACATAGATGGCATGAGAATTACAAATTGCAATTTTTAAATCATGATTTTATTTATTAATGGGGAAAAAGGCTATTTAGACATACCTGGCCCGATCTGAAAGTGAATTTCTCCTGAACCTGCTGGTGTGGCACTTTTGACACCAAGAACTGCAAATGTTTGCAAGGGTGTTTCACATCACTGTAGAGGAAGTGTTGTTAGTTCATACCCAGATGAAATGGAATGTTAACTTTCCAAAAAGTTCACCTTTTGCCTCCTCAGTCTACGGGCTATTTTCTGAAAAGCTTTGGTTATCATTAAGATGTTTTTTTTGCAAATGTGACATTACCCTTTTGTACTTGTACTCTCCTATGGATTTTATTTTTTTGTGGCCAGCAGTTCTTTAGATGATGTTTCTTCTTTGACCCCCTGGGATGAGTTGTCAATGAATTTTTTTAGTGTTTTTGGTAGGCCTGGTACTCCTGGGAAGGTTCCCCACTGTTGGAAGTTTTTGTTTGTTTGTGGGAAATGGCTTACAGCATGGATCAATGGAGTCTCAAAGCCTTAGAAATGGTTGGTAAACCTTTTCTGGCTGGTGGATGTCAGTGACTGTGTTTGTTTCTTTAGACTGTGAGATGTGTTGCGTTTTGAAGTCTTTTCAGTCTACTCCACTTTGTAGGACAGATTCTATTTAAGTGATATCTTGATTTAACAGATCTGGCAGTAATCTGGCCCACGTGTGGCTAGTGAAATTGAGCTTGACTTTCCCAAAAAAGTGTGTTTAAAAATTAAGAAGGCAGCAGACAATGTAGTTTGCAGTCAGGTATTCAGCTGATACCCATCCGCTTAAGTTAATTAATTATGGTACACTAAAAATTTGTACTCTTTTATAAGAGGCTGATGTTGATAACCTAAAGTAACAGCGCTTCCATCAAATGACATCAAGGCTGAATCGTCACCATGCCAGTGGTGAGAAACGGCAGCCCAAACTAGGTCGCGTGAGGAGCCGTGACTCCATTTGAGCTTTGCGTTGTTGAGGCTGATTACAAATTGAGAGATGGGTCACAAAGGCGGGATACAGTGAGTTGCAGTATGAACATAGCATCTATGTCAGAATCTACATTGCTTTCACAAGAGGGAAAAGACGCACGAGAGACGCACACGAGAAAGAGGAGTGAAGTCACTTTAGAACTCAACCTTGTTATCTGGTGTCAATTTACAGATAGTGACTGTGTCTCTTCAACCCTGCATTTCACTGAAATAAACTTTGGACATTTTTGAGGACATTGGATAGTCATGGGGACATCGCTTTGTTGTAAATGCACTGAAATCACATTACCTCTCAAGCTTTCCAGTCAGCTGCAAGGAGATCCTACAAGGTTTATCTTTAATTTTAGCCATAGGATGTTTTTCAAATGAAGTCAGAAATTGAAAGCTGTGTGTCTATATAATTCTTATAGCAATGAACTTGGAAACAGTGTGTAATGTAAAATAATTATTACAATGTTACAGATTTGTTCAGAATAATTTTTATGTTGATACTTTTTCTGCTTCACAACATAATTCCTTTTGCAAGTGCGGCATTTTGAAGAAGTGACATATTTTGATGTACTTATTAGTAGGAAGCAACAGATTAATTCAGTTCATTTAATGCATTTTCCTTTTAATGTAACCCTGAGATGGATCCATACAGTAGGACATTTGGTGATAGTATGCAGAAGATCAGTTATTCTAAGTGATTAACCTTATGTGTCCAGACAGGAATGGCCTGTGATGAAGATGATGTGAATCACACGCTATGAACTAGGGCTGCTCGATTATGGCAAAAATGATAATCGCGATTATTTTCACTGAAATTGAGATCTCGATTATTTGACGATATTTATTTAACAATAACAATGTATTGAATAATGACTTTAAAAATTGTCAAAAAATAATATAAAATAGTGTGCAAATACTGATAACAGTGCAAATGTTTGCAATATAAAAAATAAATGAAAAATGTAAACATCTATGTTTAGTGAACTTTGCAGTGTTGCTCTGTGGTGCAGCTACGCCACTGTAGCAAAGTTTACACACTATGTCTACTTGATCCACGTCTGACTCCGCGAACCCATAATGTTTCCACACCACTGAAGTTTTCTTTACCTCTCTTTTCAACCAACGGCAGTCACTCTCCTCTCCAAATAACTTCTGCTTAGCTTTCCGAGCTTCCCTCGGGTCCTCTTAATTGTTGTGACGCGTGTTTGAAATGCAGAGAGGTGCGTTTGATTTGCCACACGGAGCAGCGCGAGAGTAAAGCACGAGGGAGGGGCTAATAATCGGCTCAGTCATTTTTAATGATCGTTGAAAGCCCAGATCGTAATCGTGATTAAAATTCGATTAATTGAGCAGCCCTACTATGAACTGAGGCTACGTCCACACATACACGGGTATTTTTGAAAACTGAGATTTTCCGTTTTCGTTTTAAAAAATAATCCCGTCCACACGTAAACGCAGAAATGAAGGAAAACGCTGCTATGAACATGCCAAAGCAACAGGTGGCGATATATTCCTAACCGTGTAGAAATGTTGGCCAATCATAAGTCTAGAAGCCTCGTGGGAAATAGTAAACAAAGCTGGGGCATAGAAGCAGAACTGAGTCGTATGTGTGGAGGGACAGTAACTGTGTGTATATGTAAGCATTTAAACACTGCAGAGAGTAGAATTAACAGTATTGTAGAAATTCATTTAACCGAAACAATAACGTGGCGCACAGTGTGACGTCAAAAAATGCGCACACCTTTGACACTGCGCGTTCTCAGTTTTTCTCGTCCACACATAAATGCAAAAACTGAGTTTTCGAAAATATCCACCCTGGCAGGCGTTTTTAGAAATCTCCGTTTTCAGTGACTGAAAACGCCGTTTATGTGTGGACGAAAGGTGCAAACGCATAGAAAAATCTGCGTTTTCAAAATACCCGGGTACGTGTGGACGTAGCCTGAGTCAGCAGATGCAGCAGGTGTTACAGATCTAAAGTTTAAGGGTCAGAATTTTTTATTCAATATAAAACACAAGTTATGGCTGCATCATTAAATATACTGGTCTGTGGTATCTTCAGTTGACCCTGTCCTTGTCCACAACTGAGATTCAGCCATAGCTAGTGTCAGCCTTCAGCGGTGTATTTAAAGATAGGCAGGTGGTGTACTACACATTCATCATTATCACTATCATTAAAGCTCTAGTTGATAATTAATTGTAGATGTAGAAACGTACAGGTGCATGTGTTTATCCTGGATTAGCAGGTCCTGGCCCTGTTGAATGATATTTGCAACTAAGAATCAGTAAATAACACCATTTCCGGATGTATATATTTTTAAACATTTTTGTTTAATTATTATTATTAATAATAATAATACTTTTTATTTATGCAAAATTGTTTTAGATTATCTTATCTAACAGTATTTAAAGTAGGTTGATTATTAAAAATTGCTTTAGTGAAAATACACAAGGTAACTGTTTTGTTTTAAAGTTCATGCATTCTTAAATTGTAAAGTTGAAGAGCATGACTCATGCTCTTCAACTAGTTGTTTCCCCCACTCAGGTGTCCTCATGCTGCATGAGGACACCTGAGTGGGGGAAACAACTCAAAAAGCTCTGATACTGCAGAAAACACATGAAAGGCTTCTGGGTGTGAAGTATGTGCTAAAATGAACGGCTGACGGGAAGCAAGAAATGGCACAGCTTTTCAGTGCACGCTAACACAGAATAGCGCTTATCACCATCAGCATATCTTCATCTAGAAGCGAAATGCCACATCCTAACAGCTTTTAATACATTTTCTGCTAAGTTGCTGATACCAGCTTATCTTGATAGTGTCTTGATATTCTCCTTGTTTCCCGTCACTTAGCTGTATCATGCGTTTATCTGTGGTATTAAGAGGAAACATGCTGTAAAGGCTTCAGTTTGTCCTGCCTGGAATAACGATTATGTTGGATGATGTTTGCCAAACTTAACTGTTACTCCTTCTACCTTCTTTCTTCTTGTGCTCTGAGGCCTGATCTGAACTTATTGGCTGTAGACAATTCTGCTTTGTAATGCACTTCTAAATATAAATATTGGTGAATGTTACAGAAATTTTAGTGTTTTGTTCATAAGCTTAAAAGGTCAAGAACAGTCTTCTCCACTAAACATTTAGTTAATCATTTTAGTCTATACCACAAATATGTAACCAGTTTCCCCCACAACCAAAAGATCAGGGTTTAACAGCCATTTGTATGCTTTACTGGGTGCAGAGAGAACAATCATGGAAGAGGAGCAGCTTCAGCTTCACTATAAGCTATGGCGTCACCTACACTACTACTGTATTGTGGGAAAAATGGAAGCTGAATCTTCTAAAACCTTTAATCTGCACACTCAGGTGTATTTTTTACATTCTCCACTCATTCAATATTTGTATTGTTACTTTTATGGAGAAAACTGTTCAATGCAGTGAGACAGATGTCAGTTCTGGATGGGGTGTAACAAAGATGCATCATAAATTAATGTCTTAATAACTGAGCTGGTCAGGTAAAATGTTAAAGATGAGTTTAATGTAGCAGGATTGTACTTATTTTCTCAACACGGAGTTGTTTTTTCCCTGTTCTGAAAAATGTGATTATAGGAAAACACTGTCATGGCCAGTCGGCTTGCATAGCACAACGTTTACTGGTCCATCAGCTGTGCTGAACGTGTCCTTCTTAGCCTGTTACTATAGCCAATACTCATTGATAGTTTTTCTTCTTACAATCCTTAAAAGTTGAGTGAAGAAATTTTTTTTTTTTTTTAAAAAACAGCCCTTTAAAAAAAAAAAAAGCTTTTTTTTTTAAGCGTTGCTTAAAATCAAATCAAATCACTTTTATTGTCACATCACATGTGCAGGTACACTGGTACAGCACATGTGAGTGAAATTCTTGTGTGCGAGCTTCACAAGCAACAGAGTTGTGCAAAATACAAGAATGGCTACATCTGAAACTAATAAATATATGTACAATATATAATAGTATATGCATTTCTGGATGTGTATACTAAATATTTTTCTACGTGTGTGGGTGTGTGTGTGTGTGTGTGTGGGTGTGTGTGTGTGTACACATATTTTACAAATTAAATAGAGTAAACAATAAATAAAATATATAAAATAAAATATACAGAGTTGAATATGTGCAAAACAGTGGCGTTACTGTACAGTATGGAGTGCATAGTGTTGAAGTTCCAGTAGTGAAGCTGAGGTGTCTATGACGTGTTCAGCGGTCTGATGGCCTGGTTGAAGAAGCTGTCTCTCAGTCTGCTGGTTCGGGACCGGATGCTGCAGAACCTCCTTCCTGATGGAAGCAGTCTGAACAGTTTATGGCTGGGGTGACTGGAGTCCTTGATGATCCTCCCCGCTTTCCTCAGGCAGCGCTTCCTGTAGATGTCTTGGAGGGAGGGAAGCTCACCTCCAATTATGCGTTCAGAGCACCGCACTACTCGCTGGAGAGCTTTGCAGTTGTAGGCGGTGCTGTTGCCATACCAGGTGGTGATGCATCCAGTGAGGATGCTCTCAATGGCACAGTGATAGAAGGTCCTGAGGATGCGGGGGCTCATGCCGAATCTTTTCAGTCTCCTGAGAAAGAAGAGGCGCTGCTGCGCCTTCTTCACTGTTTTGTTTGTGTGTACTGACCACGTAAAATGGTATTTTCAGAATATTAGCAATGCTGAACAAAGAGCGGAATAATACCTGAATCTGTGACGGTGATCTGCCACACTTTTTCCATAAGCTGGAATATTAACTCTAGGGATTGCACTCAAAGAAAAAAATTGGGGGTCCTTCAACATACCCACATGTGTGTGACAACCAGTCGAGATCAGTGCAGTATTTGTCATAATTGTGTAACACGCAGATTTAGATGATCATGATGTGTCCTCTTTGGCCTTTTGACATCAGAGCTGGCATTCTGAATACAGGCTCAGCTTGTTAAGTGTTTTCTGTTCTTCTGTTTTTTGTTTATTTCATAGTACAAAAGAACATAACATCAGTCCTGGCGTGTTTCTAAGTGAGTCAGCCTTCACAGATAAAATGGACCCTGCATTACCCCAACAACACTCAGTAGATTTGAATGGATACATTGTGCACCACTGTTGCTCCCAGTACAAAGACACTGGGTGTATTGTAGCAATGAATAGGATTGTGTTGAAGCCTTTGTGTGTTTATATGAATGCCTAAATGTTTTTAAAGTGAATATTCAGTGATGTATGTTTTTCATTATTTTTCTTTAAAACCGAATCATGAAAACTTTTGATGATTTTATATCCAAGAATATAAACCTTGGTCTGATTGTGTCTGCAGGTGGCGGGCTGTGTGCCTCTTTCAGTAGAGAATCTCTGATGGTACTCAGCCTGCCTTTTTCAGAAACCTGCACAGATGTTTTCGCTGGGTCAGGAAAACATCTCCACCCACCTTATGTCTACCAAAGGACCTGTCAAATATGGGGAGCTCATCGTTCTGGGGTAAGCGGTTAATTGCTGAGTTCACATACATTCATAAGTCATCAAAGCAGAACTTCTTCAGACCATTTTTTTTCTTTAAAATCCTTTTTAAAACTGTTGAATGTGTAGGAAATAAGCAGCTTTTAATCAATGTTGTACCTTCCAGGAAGGAGGGAACAAAATCCTATTATTTTACCCACAGGCACACATGCAGGCAAGAAATCAACGATGGTGAAAACACAGTGTTTGGCTTAACAAGAGGAAACCCTTTCTTACATTTTTTTTAACAGGGGGATTTAGCTGTAAGGAGGGATTAAATTTGAGTTCTGTTGTCTCAATATCAAACTTAAAAGGCATACAGTAACCAAACATGCATAATAAATATGAATTTCTTCCGCCAGTGGAGATGGTTAATACAGCAGTCCCAGTCATGGTAAGATGAAGAACAACTGACATGGCAGGAATCAACATCTGCGTATTTGCTTTTTGTCAAAGGGAAAAGTAGTTAATGCAGACACTGTGTACGCACACTCATTCTAAACCCACAGACCACAGAGGCAAACTCGCTCTAAACCCACAGAGTAAAAGCCCTTCAGGTGGAAAGATGGGGTACTGTCATCACCCTGCCAGGCGGGTGGTGTGAGCACCTAAGTTTGTGAATGCGATAACTCGAGTTCAAAGCAGCATAGGAGCTTCAAATTGATACCAGAGGCACATCTACAAAAAATCTGGGACAAGTTTGAATCTCAGTGACCTCAATCTCAAGGTCAGAGTAAGCTTTCTGAAAATGTTGTGAATATGATAACTTGAGAACAAGGCGACGTAGGTTTTTGAAATTGATACTAGAAAGTTGTTCTGTACAGTGGATGTAGAAAAAGGAGTTAAATTCATAACTGATAGGGGACTTTAATATGGTCTAAAACTAAATGTTTTAATAAATGTCACAACCACTCATTTACATGTAAAGGACTCTGGCCTCCTCCCGCAAGCCAAAGACGTCTAATGTTAGCTTACTGTTTTATTTTTAATTGGGTTTAGGCATGAATGTGATTGTCATTAATGACAGTAAAATCCTGGAAAAGGAAGACGGGATACATCCTTAGTTTTGTTTGCACTTATAAAAAAAGTTTAGTGCCTGCAAGCTGCAATCACTTATACAACTTTCTTCAATATTTTATCTATATTTTTTAAAATATCATAATCACAAACTTCCATGATATATCATGATAAACCTTTGAGGCCATCTGAACCATTTCTAGACCGTATCTTATAGATATGTTCCTGGAAACTTGTGTGCTCGGGGTGGCTAGTGTTTGGTAAAAGTCTCTTTAAAATCCCTTTTAATTTCTAAAATGTACGTAGTAATTCTAAACCAAACGATAAAACAGCTGGATATTGCAGACATATTTTTGATGTCATCAAAACCATTTTTGGAGTTTGATAACCGATCCTTAAACCTGGTTGTAACACTCAACTTCTTTAGCTGTCGTATAAAGGACAGATTGTGCTGTTGTTGATCTAAAAGTGCCTGGCAGTCTTTGTTTGTGTGCCTTGAAGTTTATAAGCGTCACTGTTTTAGGTAAGAAATTGACTAAACTTGGGTAGGTTTAAGCAAGTCTCTTTATTTTAATGTGCCTTGTAGTGTGAGAAATTCAGTTGGGTGCTGTATAACTAAAGTGTGTTGGGAAACTCAACCGCAGCCATTAAATGCTGCCGACTTCCTGACTAAAGGCCAGTCACTGTGCACACAAGAGTGAGCCTGCGGTTCAGGGAGGTCGGGTCAGGAACGTGGTGGCTGCTGTGGTTTTAGCCCTTTTGTTTGCTTTTGTATTATTGTGACCACACGTGGAATTAAACAGTCTGGATTGCCCTGAGGCTGGCAATTACACTAGTCATAAGATTTAATTAGAAAGATCCACATAGTTTGTGAAAACATACCTTGTAGCGTGGTTCATCGAGTGGAGCCACAGCGGAACTGGGGTGGCTAGTGTTTGTCTAAGAAAAAGGTGGCTGGTACTTCATCTCAAACGCAGGAAGTTTGCATTAAGCAGTGAAAGAATGGCTTGTCTCAACTGTTTACTTGACCTGCAGCTAACAGCAGCCTGACTCTGAAGATAACTTCAGTTAAACTGACTCTTATTGGAGCCCCCATAACATTCAGGATTGTGTTTTCAAATGTTAAACACATCAGGACGACAGCGGTGCTGTCATTGTTTTGTGTTTTTTGTTAATTTTCAAAACATGATAGTTTGCTTTTAAAAAACAGACACATTTAATGGTATCCTAATGGCTCAGTTGGATAACCTATAAATCTCTCAACCGCAGCATCCTGCTTTTAATTCTGGACTGAAACCGTAGTTACTTTTTGCTCCCTCCCTCAAAGCTTCCTGTCTGCAGTGAAAGCTGTGGAAGGAATGTTTGGGCAATATCTCGGTTTGTCTTTTTACCTACACTACAGAGAAACGGCCTCGGTGTGTTTAGCCAACACAAACTAGCAGAGAAAACTGAAAGTGAAGCTGCTAGGGTTGTCAGGCATAAATTTCTCTTAAGTGGTTTGTTGTTGTTGGTGAGGCTGCAACAGTTTCTCTGGGAAATTCAGAGAAGTTTCGTTTTATTTGTTTTTCTATTGGATGCAGACCTGGGACCTGCAGGTTTAGCTAACAGCTCTGAGTTTGTTAACCATGAGTTGAGGGACGCTTTGGGTCTTCTTTTCCAAAAAGTGAGTTAACTTCAACTCCAACTCACTTTACTGAGCACTTTCACACTCATAAATAAGGTTGAAACAGCAGTTGCGTTACAGATGTATATCAGCTCAGAATAAAAACTATAGTCTTCATCTTTCTAACTCTGTGACTCTGGCTGACCGTCTAAGAGGAGCATTTTTGTCCACAGTTTCCTTGTACTGCAAACCTAACTGTGTGTCACTTTATCAAACGCTGTTTAAATAAAGCTTTAGCCGTAGAACACACCAATCACTGAATCAATTGTCATGTTGCAATCGGTCACACGGAAAGATAGCTGTCATCTTGGAGATGATGTGAAGAGTCTGAAGACTTAAACTGTATAAAATGTATTTCAAAGAGAGCTTTAATTGCAGCTGCAGAGTCCGTCTTCTGAATATGTCATGTTAAAATTCGTTCATAGATTAAGATTTAGTCAAATTATGTCAAACAATATTTTGTGCGGTACAGTGTCTGAAATTCAGATGCTGAATCTCACATTTTTTCACTTAAAAGTGGGACATGGTGGGCCAATTCAGATCCACCCGAGGGTATCATAATGAAGAGTTCACTTGCAAGGCAGGATGGATCCAAAACTGATCACTGATTTAGACCACGTCAGCCCCAGTTCCAGGCAGGCTAAGATTGGATCAGATTAGACATGGTTACGTTGGCGAACATTAAAGCAGAGATTTTAAGAAATTGGAGTAAATTTTTTTTTGGATTACATTTTTACTGAATACGTCTGTGTAGGTCTTCAATCATCCTGGTCAAGATGGGGGTTGAGGCGCCTGACAAGGGATTTTTAAAAAGCGCGTTATAGGTGGCAGACAGTTGGTGTTGTAAGCCACCTGGTCTGTTCATCGGTCTTCTCAGTCTAAAATGCGAACATCGGTGTCCTCGAAGGAGTGACCTTTTATCTAATAGATGCGAATGTACAGCTGAGTCTCGTCCTGTCGAGGTGGCGCTTCCATGTTGTGCTGTGCGTTTATGGAGGAGCTGTTTGGTTTCTCCAGTGTAGAGGTCTGAGCACTCCTCACTGCACTACACAGCACACATTACATTGTTTAGTTTGTGTGTGGGAGTCTCATCCTTGGGATGAACCAGTTTTTGTCTGAGGGTGTGGTGGCGTTTGAAGCCATGCTTGGAGAAAATTCTCTGATAAACCTGCTACATAAGGGACGGCAATGTTGTTCTGTTTGTCATTCGGTTTCTCCCTAGTTGGTGTCTGACCTTCTTTCCTGTGTATCTTTGACTGATTTAATGAAGGCTCAGTTGGGATAACCATGTTTAAATCTTTAAAGCGTTTTTTAAATCTGTGTTTTCCTATAAATAAATAAATAATAAAAAATTATATGGAACTTTTATTGAGACAGTGGCCTAAGTTAATTACAACTGCTCGTTTCTTCCTTCCTATGATTAGCACTGACACGTTACTGAAGCTCAGCAGGTCGAGCAGGTCCTCTAATAGTCTGAAGGTGTGTGGTTTGATCCCTGGTTGCGCCAGTCTGCATACCAGATATCCTTACTGACCCCAAGCTGCTCTTTGATACATCCATCAGAGTGTAAATGTTAGAAAGCACTGAAGCATACAAAAAAGTGCTTGTGCAAATGAGTGAACAAGGCATGTTGAATAAAGCACTTCGAGTGCTCAGGTAGACTTGAAATATCCTCAGTATAGTGGATTAAAATGGAGGCACTGCTCTCTCCATTCCCAGGTTGATTCCTAATATTTGGAGCACCACTGACCCTTTGTTTCCTTACTCACTGCTTAACTCTAGATGAACATACTCTAAGTTGATTTAAATGCTGAGCTGCCAGGAGATGAGTTTCTGATTTGCCATTGTCTTTGGTTCATTCATTCATAATAATGTATTATTAAAATTAAAATGCCTTTTGAAATGAACATAAAGCAGTTTTGCTCATCGTTATCCTCTGTGTTCAGGTGTAATGGGTCTCTACCCTGTGGAGACAAGGGGAGGCGGAAAAGCCGCTTCGCTTTGTGTCGCAGAAATAAGGCCAACGGTGTGAAACCGAGCACTGTCCACATGTCATGCACACCTCAAGCTGCCAAGGTGAGAGTTCAACACAAATGAAAGTGGCACATTTCTGGTGCCACTGTAGTGAGGAAACTACAATGAATGTGGGACGCATATTTAACTCTTTTAATCAGTTCTATCTTAAAGGTCTGCAGGTAAATATGATGCTCTAAATGGAACATGCCCTTAATAGGATTTAACTAAAACATCTTGAATTTGTTACCAGTTTCAAAATACTCTTCCTGACATGCTTCCATCAGTATTAACATCCCCGCGATTGCTGTAGAAGAAATTCTTTCATGTCTTAAACACACTAACAGAGCTTCTTCTTTCATGTTTGTTTTGTTAAGGCCGTCAGCAACAAGGAGCAGCACAGTATTTCATACACGCTGTCTCGCGCACAGACAGTGGTGGTGGAGTACACTCATGACAGCAACACAGACATGTTCCAGGTGTGTAGTTTGAAAAGCACACACCCTACATGGATATTCAACCTTGTGATTTTCAGTATTATCCTTTTTAGGTCAAAGTGAACACTGGATGAATGACATTGTTACATGTCAGTTTTCTTTATTAAAGTGGTGTCTACCACAAAATATGTTCTGTAGGTAGCATAATGAACACCACTGAAAACAAGCAAGACATCAGCACTTGTCTCTGTGTAATTACAGATTGGCCGTTCTACAGAGAGTCCCATTGACTTTGTGGTTACGGATACTGTGCCTGGAGGTCAGAACCAAGCTGACAGTCAGACACTTCAGAGCACCATCTCCCGCTTTGCCTGCCGCATCATCTGCCAAAGAAACCCACCTTACTCTGCACGAATTTACGCCGCAGGCTTTGACACGTCTAAAAACATCTTCCTTGGGGTAGAATGCACAAACTGCTCATTTCCTCTGATAACATTTCTTCAGTTTGAATGTGCTAAACATACATTTGACCTCTTCATAGGAGAAGGCAGCTAAGTGGAGAATGCAGGATGGGCAGATGGATGCACTGACGACAAATGGAGTTCTCGTGATGCATCCTCGCCACGGCTTCTGCCAGGACTCCAAACCTGGTCAATGGAGGGAAATCTCAGTTTGTGGGAATGTTTTTACACTGCGGGAGACCAGATCAGCTCAGCAGAGGGGGAATATGGTGAGCGACTCCTGTTTTCTCTCACACACCACACAAACACACACAGTTGTTTTCATATTCTCGTGGGGACATCTAATTGATATGCTTTCCCTAGCTGCTTACTTTAATCCTAACCTAATTGTAACCCTGACACTAAAACCACATTTTGAGACTCAAAAATGTCTTCAAACACGTGGGGGAGGGGAATTTGTCCCCATAAGGGCTGTTGGTCCCCACAAGCATAGTAAACTTACAATCTTTGGTCCCCACAAAGACATGCAAACCTGTTACACACAGACATGCGCAAGGCCCAGGTCATTAATCCCAGGTCATTAATCCCCCCTCCAAGGTGGAATCTGAGTCCAACGAGCTGGTGGATGGGTCTCTTATCGACCTGTGTGGTGCCACCCTGCTGTGGCGCACGGCCGAAGGACTGTCCCTCACTCCCACTGTCAAACACCTGGAGGCCCTGCGGCAGGAGCTGAATGCCGGGCGGCCACAGTGTCCCGTGGGCTTCAACACACTGGCCTTCCCCAGCCTGCGTCGCAAGGACGTCCTGGATGAGAAGCAACCATGGGCATACCTGCGCTGTGGCCATGTGCATGGCTACCATGGCTGGGGAGGGCGCTGTGATCCTGAGGTCGAAGCAGAGTGTCAGGAGCGGGAGTGCCCCATGTGCCGTGCGAGGGGCCCTTATGTGCCACTGTGGCTTGGCTGCGAGCCGGGGTTCTACGTCGATGCGGAGTCCCCTACCCACGCCTTTGTCCCCTGTGGCCACGTTTGTTCAGAAAAAACAACTGTGTACTGGAGCCAGATCCCGCTGCCACATGGCACACATGCCTTCCATGCCGCCTGCCCATTCTGCATCCAGCCGCTGAGCAGGGAGACCGGCTGTGTCAAACTGATCTTCCAAAGCCCGCTGGATTAGGAACGACTCTTGACTCTTTATCTGAAGCCTTAATCAACAAAAGAGGGATGCAACTATTTACAGTTTGGGAATTTTCATAACTTAATTTAACTTAATTTAGTGTTTTTTTTTAAAGTGCATTTATTGGGTTGATTCTTACCTTTTATACGGTTATATGGCTCAGGCACCAAAAAGGTGAAGGTTCTTCCCCAGATACAGCTGTCTGGAAAAGCTGTGATGATCTTTAACTTACTTACACTTAATTTATTCTTTTACCTTTTTAATGTAATTTTGTCTATGAGTCAGTGCAACATTTCCCTGCATCTCTCTGTAGCTGATTACCGTCTCATACTGCATTAATGAGCTGATAACAAGATCGAGTTAAGAGTTGTGTGCAGATTTTGGTCTGGAAGCTTATTCAGGGGAAACACTGGATTT